GTACGCGTCGCCTGAGTACGTGAGGCACGACTAGTTCAGTACATCCTCTATCGACACGTTGTCGCGCATTTTACTTTCTGATTTTACCCAAAGAGGCACCACATCCGATATTTCCACCTAAAAAGTAGCTGTGTTACGAGACTACATGTCGTGCTGAACAGACGCATCGCTGGATACGCTCGACTTGCGCATGGGTTCTTGGACTTGTCCCCTCGATGCTGTTGGTAGTCTGTCTCGTGCATCTGGTGCTTGCTGATGCGGTGAACAGCTTGCGGCGATGGAGTGCATGATTCCTCCAGTCTTTCATTACTCATGGCAGACCCTGGTCAACTTTGGGAGGACGACTAACGGCGCCGATGTGTACGGTAAAACGACTCATCAGAGGTACGAGCATGTTGACAGCGTTGTCGTACAACCAGTTCTCTTAGACGCTGGTCCTGCGACGACACCACAGCGCGCGCTCAGCATGGCGTGTGGCCGGGTTGAGATGTTTATTCACCTGCGTCATGTCCAATAGACACAGCTATCACACCAAGACATGGCTTCGCCACAAAAATTGTTTTGCCTTGCTCGACGCGGGCCATAGCTTTGGATTCGGAATTGGGTGCGAACTCAAAGAGGTCGCTGGTCATGGCTCTGTACCTGCTGATGTTCGCCGCTCAATTCCAACTTGGGCTCGCCGCACAGCAGTTTCACCCTGAATGAACCTGGCTGATCGAGGTAATTCGAGCCGACTGTCATCCCACTGTGACGGCTTCTGTGTAACCAGCGGAAGCGGAAAGAGTCTGGGCACATGCACAATGATCGATAGCAAGCGCCCATCTCCTCCCCATCTGAGCGCCATGCGAATGACCATTATCCTCATAATGCATTGATCCTTGGCCCAATCAACGCAATGAGCTCGAGCGAGTCCGCTTAGGATCTCATGAAGTCACTCTTCTTTGACCGGAAGGCAGTGTGAGTTGTTCGAATCTCCCACCGCCGGCCACGCACAGTGACAGCGGGTAAGGCTGTAAGTATCTAAGCTGCTCTGCAGAATGGCACCGATTCGCCAGGAAATAGAACGAAAAAATACACAAGAGCCCTGGAGACGACTCTCATCAAGCCGTGGTCACGGGTCGCGACAGCTGGTGCAGCAACCTGGCTTTCGTCTTCTTTGAGCGGTCTGTACTGAGACATAAACACCGCCTTTCTTCGTGAGCAGGCCTGCAATCAATCCGACCGTATGTCAAAGCGAACGTGACAACGCGACTTGTTTGAAAAGGTCCGGTGAGGCAAGGGCCCGTCGAGAGTCCACTGTGAATGACTTCGCGTCGCAGGCAAGTGAAAGGGCTTGCATTAGAGCGCGCCATGTCTCACTACGAAGAGAAAGATATGTCTGATCCAGAAATTGCATTCAGCCTGCAATGTTTGACGGTAGACAGATTGTTGTTGCAGAGACAAGCCAGCAGTGTCTATGCTGTATACCGTATCTCGAGTATCGCCAACGGGAGCAAGGCTGAACACACACCGACAGTGTGTGCACCAATGACAGGTTTCAACGGAGTTGCAATTGTGCAGATATCCGAGATACGTGAGGAATTGGGCCACGTTTGCAACGAAAGGTAGGAGGGACGTGCGCCGTACTTCCACGGGACGCTGCAGGTAAACATTGCACCGATCCGGTTCTTTCATGCCAGGCCGACAGGGAGTATGCCAGAATAATCTGGTGTTCTCAGAAGGATTGCACGGGAACAATTTCAGTCTGAGCATGCCACTCGTACGGACTGGCCAGGTACGTGCGGCGTGGTGGTACAATCGCCAAGTACCTTCAGCAGCGGATACCGCTGGTATGGACGTAGCGATAGACTAGCCTCCCATAAGCCATGTTCCGTCTGGAGATATGTATAGGTGCCAATCAGGAAGCACAAAATGCCACGTCCTCCGCTGATACCGCCGGTGGCTGAAGAGTTGCTGAGCTGCTCAGCGCTGCCAGCTCGCACGTCCGCGAGCTCATTGGAAATGTTTGGGTCGGCGCATATCTCCTCTCGACAAAGGGACTCATGTATGTCCTGGTGCAGATGCAGGGTTCAGGGCGGATGTTGTGTTTGATGCCGTACGACGCTATCCCCTCGATCCCTCTTTCACTATCGCATTGTTCAGATCCCAGCACTTGCTTTCCGGCAACGGCCGTTTGGTCCAATGAATGGATCCACCACGTCGTAACCTGGCAAGCCATGTAGTGTGGACGCTGGTCCACTTACACACCGGACGTAGTCTGCAAGGCGCTTGGACAAGCTTTGGCGAAGTGCGTCGCCAGGACTGAGCAACTAGCGGGCCGAAGTGAAGGCATGAGTTGACCCATTAAGAAGCCGTGTACAGCACAAGTACCTTGCCCCAGGATACCGTCCTCCTTAGTGACATTAACCGAAAGCTCTCCCGAGAGGATAACCTGGCTCGTTTCCCTACTCTTGGTAAGGCTTGCATCTCATCTTGGTCGACAGCATCTGTACGATCGCCTCTTGACACTTACTGACTTGGCTGTCAAAGTGACTGGTCGACTGGTACTGTTGCGATAGCCGAGCAAAGTGTCCGTTGGACACCACACGAGGTCCATCCAATCGTCACGGGATCATTCCGTTTGTTGGGCGGAGCCACTGCTGTCGTATTGGGTCATCACCAACGTGTAGCGCACGTCTCCTCGCCATCATCTACTCCAGCAAGCGCGTCGTTGCCCGGGTCCTCTTCAGTCGAACTCAGTACGTACGTCGCAATGACAGTCAGTTGTATCTGGTGCGGTCTGCTAACTGCAAGAAGATTTGTCGCAAGCGTCTGGTAGCCTCCGATCCACGTCCGTACTGGCCGGAGGTATACGGTGCTCATTTCGTCCTCGTGAGCATTTCGCAAACGAAAAAGACGTCAGCCTCTTCTTCCCGTCGCTGCCACCCAAACCCTCTCCACTCCAAGTCGATCTTTCGTTCCACGGCAGCTTAGTCTCGCTTTCCCATCTGGTCTTTGCGTCTTCAAGTCCACCGTTCCTGCCAAGTACCGGTACCTTTCGAAAAGTACCTGCACCAACAGTCTTCGTCTCAGCAACCTGAAAGTTCGCAAGCTATCCTGATGATGAAGATATCGCAAATGCTGAACCCTATCTGCGGTGGCCGCGACGACCACCGCAGTTCGAACTCGCCGACGCCAGCTCCATATCCAGTGGCTGCAGTCTCAGAGCCAAGACGACAAAAGATTCCGAAGGATGCTCCAATCTTTTCAGAAGGTAACAGAACCGTCGGTAACGTCAACTTCCCACCACACGAGGCCGGTGAAGACCATGAACTATTGCACCAGCATCGCCGGTTCCAAATCTATCCTTTGGGAGAGATATCCAGAAAAGGTGTAAGGCACATCCCGTACAACAGCGACAAGAAGGCCTTCCATGAAAAGACTGGACGAGAAGCTTTTGAAAGTAGGTTCTGCTCACCTTCCTGCTAGCTTGATGCTGACTTGGGATTAGTGTTCCAGTACACGTACAAGAGACCAGATGACGAAAAAGAGTACACTGTTGTCTGGGACTACAATGTCGGCCTCGTTCGCATGACGCCTTTCTTCAAGTCGTTGAATTATTCAAAGGTAGGTTGCTGACTAGCCCACTAGATGAAGAGGAGACTGACTGGTGCAGACGATACCGGCCAAAGCGTTGAGAGAGAACCCTGGACTGAAGGACATCAGCTACAGTATCACCGGTGGGGCTCTGGTCTGCCAAGGTCAGTTGTTGTGATAGCAGTCATACGGAGATGGGTACTGACTTCTTGTAGGCTATTGGATGCCATACCATGCAGCCAAAGCCATAGCAGCGACATTCTGCTACGACATTCGATGGGCACTCACCCCGGTATTCGGCAACGACTTTCCTTCCGAGTGTCTGCATCCGAAGGACCCATGCTTTGCGAAATTCCTCATTGACCCGACCATTGTGCAGTTTTGCGCGCAAGAGACGGTTCGTTTCGCAAAGCTTGGTCCTGCGTATGCTGTTCCCAAGCCCGACGCATCGTCACTGATCGAGACACCGAAGATGCACTGCGAGCCGCCCTTGCTCAAAGAGAAGCTGGTCATGCAACGGCGCGCGCGACCGACCGATATCGAGAGCGGGTATGGGACGGACACTAGTCGGCATGGCAAGTATCTCTGCTCGCCTGAAGTGTCTCCTCGCACTCAGTTCACGCCCATCAACCGCTCGCAATCTCCATGGTCGCCACGCACAATCGGCTCTTGCCTCTTGGGCTCGCCTATCAGCTTTCAGGCGCCTCCGGGTTTACTCACGCCAACGTCGGCTCCATACGAGTACCACGTTGAAGGCTTTCGAGCGAAACGGACACATTCGAAAGTCTCTTACGACGACCGCGTCACTCGTCCCGGTACAGCCACCACGGTGGACAGCGCGCACGGCTCAGAGGTGTCCGGTGGCGACGACGACCATAATCGCGATGATGTCAGGGCGGCGGAGATGTTGTTGTCGCTCTGCACTGGAGACAAGACGATGCCACCGACGAAGCGGACGCGTTGTGGTTCGAGGTTCTAGGAGCGGTGTTCCCCACCTTCCTCGCGATATCGATGACTAAAATACCGCCGGTGGTGCTTTCCTTTTCCGTCAGCCCATGACGTCTCGTAGCTTTTCCAGCGCGCATCGTCGGCACACTCGTTAAGCAACCTGCATCTAGCCTGGCTTCTTCATTTCAAAGATATCAAGGCGCACTCGTTAAGCAATTTGCATTCAGCTAGGCTTTTTGACTTTTCAGGCGCGCTATCGGCGCTTCGGTGTCGCTCTTCGGCGTTGTTTTCCCCTATTTGTTTTTCACCAGAAAGAAGCTACATAGCATCAGGCAAGCATCCCTGCATGAGCAATATCAGGCGGTCTGGCAAACATCATACTCAAAAGTGTAGATAGGTAGATAGCTGCATCTTTTGTGCGTAATTACAATCTTGCTATGGTCATCCCGTGTCTTATGGATTGCTATCGTGTAAGCTTACTTGGAAGCTGCCTTCTGGCTCTCAATCCTCTTCCTTGTCCCATCGATAACCGCCTCTTCGTCCCAGATGTATGTCACACTTTCCTGCTTGTTGACCTCAGCGGCCCACTTGGAGAAGTTGGGCAGTGCATCGAGGTCAGAGATGATGGATTTCGGAAGCAGTTCATGCTTGGCCATGGCGTATGTGCGGATAATGAAAGGTGCCGTCAGAGCCTGCTATGTGTTAGCGTCGCTCGTAACCGTCTGACGATGTACTTACCTCAGCCAACGTGACCTTTTCGCTACCTCCAAAGAATGGCTTCGCGTCCTTCAGTAGCGGCTCGATCTCCTTGGTAACAACATTTACAAACTCCTTGCTCATCTTCGCTTGCTCCTCCTTAGAGTCGCACATCAGGATCTTGTAGAAGAAGCTCCCCGCCTTGCTAAACCAGGTATCGACGAAGAAGCTGATTCTCGCCCGGGTCAGAGCTGCTTCTGGGGTGCCAGATGCGGGGAGAACATGTGAGGGGTACGCATCTGCCAGGAAGGTTGCGACGACGCCGGACTCTGTGATGATTTCGCCATTGAAGTTGATGGCGGGGACGAGGCCGCGCTTGCAGATGTTAGTACTACACCACTATGAAAGCAAGACTGTACTCACAGGGTTGATCTCAAGATACCACGGCTCCCTTGGTTTACCCAAATCAATGATAACCTCCTCATATGGAAGCCCCAACTCCTTCAGCACCACATGAGCTCGATGCGCCCAAGGACAGCGATGATTAGTGTAAAGCGTGATCTTGGGCGCATTTCCATTGACTTGAGCCATAGCGATTGATGTAGAACGTCGAAGATGATGTCAGCGCTAGGTGACAATGCGGCTGAGAATGCGGGGAGAATACGCGGAAGATACGACTAGAAATGCCAAGTGTGAGGCTTAACTGATGCACAACTAAGAAGCGCTTCTGAGACAAACGGTGTTTATATATGTTGCTATGGTCAATATCGCAACTCGGTGTTGGGATTAGAAATCAGCAGGTTGATGTATTACGCCGGGCGTGCTGGGAGGGGCGATGCATGCCGATATGTGGGGTATGCCGTCCGCGATGTCGTGCGCCTAAGCCCCGAACCGTTTCGCCCGGAGCTCCGTGTCATGAAGGTTGGATGCCTGATGAGCGAAAGCTCGGCGGAAGACAACGTTGCATCATGACCGAATCTTAACATGAAAGGTCCGCAAGATCGGCGGAAGACAACTGTGCCTAGTGGTGCATGCGCTTCGCCAGGGCTGGGCAAGGCGGTTTCTTACAAGCTCCGAAGACGACGCAGCCTGAGCGCTCCAAGAGACCAGCCCGACGTAGGCTATAGTAGACCCCCATATGCGCATTTATCGGTCTCCGTGCCAAAGTGTAGTACGAGGATCGAGAGCCCATGGTATTCAGCGGATGATGCCATCACCCTCGACCTTCCACTCCATAGCAGTCGCGTCCGTCTTCTTTTTCGCCCTGCGCTTCTCATTGCGCAGCCGCCTCTTCTCCTCGGCGTCCTTCTCCAGTTGCTCCTTGGTCATGGCCAACCTCGCGTCCAGATCCGTCACCTCCATGAACTTGTCCTCGTCTCGTTTGCGCTTGAGATATCGTAGGCGTTCCCGTACTTCGTGAACTGTCGCGCGGTGGACCTCGCCCGACTGGCCCGTTGTGACCAAATGCTGCTTGCTGTTCAAATGTTCGACGTACTGGATGTTGTCCCTAATGGCTGTTAGCATAGATCATAGGTTTTAGGTTTGCGACAATAGGAACGTACTTGAATGTAAGGTCGCAGGCTTGACAGTATGCGCCTGCACCACGTCCCCTCTTGCCAACAGCGGCTGCTGCTGATGTGAGAGTTTGCTTTCCGATCATCTTGCTCCAGTCTATGCGCTCTGATCTGGCCTCAGTCTGCTTCAGATCATCAGGCGTGGACGCCCTCCGCCTGTACGTCTTGCCCGCCAGCTTTGCCTCATACCGCTCTTTGCCCTCTTCGCGATCTTTTGCCTCCCTATCCTTCGCCCGCTGCGCCATCTCGTCGCGATCCCATGTTTTCCTGAAGTCTGTGTCGCCGCCGCCAGACGTTCCGTATGCGCCTGCTTTTCCGCTCATGATGGGCGACTCGGTCAACTAGGCTCTTCGCGATCGCGTATGTGGTTTGTTCGATTCTTCAGAATGAGGCGACTGTTAATTTGTTCGGGTAGTCGCGTGGTGCTGTACGGAATCTGTGTGATTAGGTGGGTGGTGATGTGTCTAAGAATTTCCGCAAGCTCAAGTCGCGACATTCGCGACCATGGGTGCACGGACTTACGTAGCGCTATCAGCTATCAAATGGCTTCGCCCAACATCATACTGAAGAATCATCGAACTTTGATTGTATTCGAGAAGACTATAGAAGTAATTCAGGTTCAGGTACATGTTGAAGATCTGATAGTACCCGCGGCGAATGAAACTCCTATGAACGAACACTCCTCGCTATGCTTGATTTCGCTTGTGAATATAGAGCGGTCGCAAAACCGGAAACGCGACCAAATTCAATAGCGCCAGTACATGCTACAGTATGTCTGTGCCACTTCTGATTTCTTCGTTGCTTCGAAGGCCTTTCAAACCTGCAACAGCAGTACTACCCACTACCATCCGCTCTGTGAACGTGACAGGACGTTATGAAGTGAGCCTAGAAAACAAACGGAAAGAAAGTAGACGTCCAGCGATTTAGTATCCGTAGGGATCGGGCGGCCGAGGATACGACCCGTTGTGGTGGATTGGCGGAGTCGGCACAGCAGGAGGTGGCACTCCACGCATCACTCTGAGAGCCATGTGTTGCTGCGGCACTGATCCCTCCCTCTCCCGACGCTTCTTCTTCTTCTGTTTGACTCCATAACCTACATCCGCGTAGCCTGCCGCGGCGAAGGGTGGTTCAACGACTTCTCGAGAGCGATCGTCCGGCAGTCTGAGCTCGACAAGGCTGTAGAAGTAGTCCAGCACTTCTGGATATCGCAGCACCGATGCGCGCCAGTCGGCGTCGATACCGCGCTTAAGTTCCGCGTGCGCCTCTGCGATCTGTGTCTGCAACGTCGCAACGTACATAGGGTGTATCGGCGGGTGGCCAGAGTATCGCATGTAGACCTCGTAGTTCGGAAGGGACGCTAGGTATGATGAGTGCGCTTGCTTGCGTGTCGAGGTCAATCTTTCGAATGCGTTGAGGATATGCTGGCGCGCATTGTTGATTACCCAGTCTCTACACATGGTCAGCAGGTACTGCAAGGAGCGTATCTGGATCATACCGTATCTCAGCCATGCGATCTTCCATAGCACGCGCCTCAGCCTGCTTGACGGCTATTTGAAGCCGCTCCGATTCGCAGGAGCATTCAGGATACGGCGGCGCATTGCAGATGGCACAGTTGGGAGCTGCATCCATTTCGTGGGTAGCAAATTGGTGAGCCACTGCTAATCATCGTCGGTCCAGAGTGGGCCGTACACGTTAAGAAGCTGCCTCGGAGCTCGCTGCGGAGGCAGAGTGAGGCTGCGGTATGGAGTATCGTCGGTTTAAAACAAGCCCTAGGCGGATGCTCGCGCTTGGGTAATCAGGCACAGGCGGTGACAAGTGACATGTTACATGACGAGCAATGTGGATGCCAGTGACGGGGACTGGCTAGCTTCGGGCAGCTTATGGGCGGATTGATGTATTGGACAGACGTGCGGATGCGTTATGAGTTGGCAGAATCGCTAAGGTCCGCTCGACACCCAACCTGGCGCTATGCCAAGGCTGTCTACATATAACAGTCCAGAGTCCGAGGAGCCCATCGGAAGCTAGGCACATGTCGACTACTATGCTTCACCGTCTTATGGTGATGGAGGACAGTCTTGATCGTGAGTAAGTCTGCGTGGCACATGTCAGTACTCGATCTTCGCATCAGGTTACCCCGCCTTCGCTTCCAGCCTTGTCCGACCCCTCGATGCTCTCCGATCAGGACCAGCGCAAGTGTGCTCCGTATCCAAAGCTATCAGAGACGTGATATGTGAGTGATATGCATCATTGTGGCACCTGAAAAGCAACGTGAGACGAATGGTTAGGTGCTTCAGGGCGTCATGTATCCGCTATTCGCGATTTGCTTGAGTTGTTAAGCATCAAGCGATGTCACTCACCGTCATTTCTAATCTCAGCTCGTTTCGATGTATGTGGGCGGTTGATGCTCCGTATCGGATGGACTTCTTCGGGCGCAAGGTAGGCTGAGTGACCTAGGGTATGGAGAAACCTGTGCGTGGAACACCCGTACTTTGAGTGAGTGAGATGAATTCTTCAGAAGTCATGTACAGTTTCAAAGATTAAGAGTGACTTCGATACGTTTGTCGACCACTAAGCCTGGCAGATGTTCTGTTGTTATGTTCTGTAGGTGCTTCCCCAACACGGCAGGCTTCGTGACGTCACGCGTCACTCTTGCCAAAGCTAGCTTCTTTCATCCGTGAGAACAACGAGAAGCTCCATGCGCTTCTGTGGACGTCAGTTCACAACTATTATCACGTTCTACCACCTGGGCCCTATTTAAGACGACAGCCTCCGCGTACTGGACGGGTCAAGTCCTCCCGAGCAGCCGCCAATCCTTCGGTCCCGACGTTCAAATCTTCGCCGACCTTCGCAAACCCCCGATGAACGGTGCCAGTTGACCGCTTGCTGCATGGCGTGCATATTTCGATACGTGACGGCTGCGGTTGCCGATTTCGCATCCTCCGCAAAGTCTTCCGAGCCTGGAGCGGCACCCCATTCCAACATGCAGTGCGCCCAAACGGTCTGCTATCTTCTAGATCCTCGACGACCAATGGCAAACCTGCCACAAGAGCTAGAGGATGACTTCCGCCATGTTCGTGCATCGCGCAGAACCGATGTGGGGTATGTCAGCTTCAGCTTTGCTGGGGTTCAATAGCCCGGTAATATTCGCGTCTTTGTATTGTTGGATTGTCGCAACGTCTCACATCCTCGCAAAACTGTGTAGGAGACTCTGAAATGACGTCGACTTCCATCAAGTTGTACATACGTCCTGATCAATTGTTCACCTCCAGCCTCCGCATCGAGTGTCCAACACCGCGATGTCATGCTAATGACTCAGCGGTACGAATGTGTTCTCTATCGGATGACTAGGCCGCTCAAGACTGGCTAATCTGTATCCTGCACGCGCACGGACTGCGCCCTTCAACTCGACATCCTTCAGAATACGGTTTAGCGTCTGTAGAAAGTGTGCAGTGCTTTCTTGGGCATGGTCCTAAAGATGAGTCCAAGCCAGCAGTCATACTTAGCAACCATACTTCCGCAACGACATCTTGCGCCTTATTGTCAAATCTGTACGGAGGGCGCGCATTTGTCCTCTTTCCCCTCACGAGCCATCGGCACCAACCAATACGATTGATTGATCTTGCAAGCCGGACCACGCGCCACCATCATGGCGACGCCTAGTGCCGCCTTTGATATGGCAGACTTTGTCGATTTCGGAGAAACAGGCATGCCCAACGTGTCACAAGAAGCTTCTTTCGGCGTATCTGAGACGGTACTACCCCAGAAGTGAGTGTCCCGTGTATCCTATTCGGTCATATACTCCAACCTCAAACTTGTACACTTGCAGAATAGCAAGGATAGCGGTTTAAATTTTCCAAGATCTGCGTGTATGGTTCTGACACCAACTAGCTCTTTACTGGATGAACCTGGAGAGCTGGAGAACTCCGACAGTATCCAACCCGCAAGTGCAGAGTTCAATACGAACTTCAGCAGCTGGCTTCCGACTTATCAAAAGGCTGTTCAGCCTTGCGAGTACTGTCGATCGAAATCTCTCGAATGCTTTATCTTCAACGCCGATGGCTCCAAGAGATCCGGATGTTCGCCATGCAACGCTTTGTTTCGACCATGCAGCTTCAGCAACCCTGAGCGGATGCCAGGTATGCGCCAGAGGACTGCGCTGGATACCTTAGACGTCGTGGCAGAGAACGACATTCGGCATGTCGGTGGTCTCACTGGTAAGAAGCAGATGCGATCGCTAGGTCACCTGGGTCCGATCGAAGATGGAAAAGAGGATGACGAAGGTCCTAAGAAGGGTGCCGCAGCTGCTCGCTTTCCGCGAGCGGCTGTGAAAGTGCTCAAAGACTGGATGCTCATGCATATCGATCATCCATACCCGACCGACGAGGAGAAGGAGACGCTGAAGCAAGAGACTGGCCTATCCGTCGGTCAAATCTCGAACTGGATGGCGAACACAAGGCGAAGGCAGAAGGCTCGACCCAAGCGAAGCGCTTCGCCAAGTCTCCGACCATCAACAGGAGCTATCAACATCCCAGCAGGCAAGACCTGGGAAAGCATGAGTACGTATTCCGAGTCTGGTTTCACAAGATCGCACAAAACTCTGGCTTCGTCCTCCACCGGAAAGTTCATCACTTTCCGTGTGGGTGACAGGCGTCCAGAGGATAAGAACTGCGACCCAGACACTAGCACGATGGCTCAAATGCCGGTGCTTCAGCAGCAGGAATGTTTCGGTTAACTCTCGACAGATCCGTTCGAACGATGGAAGCACTCTCCTCCTGAGAACGAACCTGCGCCGATGAACGCTATCGCGCACGCTGTTGAGACTTTCGACCTGCCTCAAACGGAGAGCTCGAGCAGTAGCTATCGCAAGGATATCTCTAATGATAGCACTGGAAGCTTCTCTGTATTCAGAGCACCCTCTATCTCCTCATTGGAGACCCGCCCTACCAACGTGTCGTCCGGCTCCTTTGGATCTCACAACTCAGCCTACTCGCATGGTTCGCGTCACTCCCTCGGCTCGTTGAACAGCTTGAAGTCCAAGGAGAGGCGAAGGCGTCGTCGCATTCCCACACGAGCGCCAAAGGCTGGTCCCGACGAAGGGCAACGTATCTTTCAGTGCACTTTCTGCACTGATACATTCAAGTCCAAATACGATTGGTGAGTTTGTTCCTATATTCTCGCAATGCAACGGCCACTCTGAAGCCGACAAATTTCTTCAACATCAAGTCATGGCCTGGTTGGTCGCATCGTCGTCCTTCCGCTATTCCACGTTCTCGTTGTGTGGTCTTCTTCTTGCTCGGTTACTACACCTGGGATATTATGCGGATGTCAAGTGTAAGAAGAGACACCAAGCTGACAGATTATAGGTCGCGGCACGAGAAGAGTCTTCACTTGTCACTGGAGAAATGGCTATGTGCCCCTCTGGGTGAGATTGTCGCCGACAAAGCTACCGGAAAGCCCCGATGCGTATACTGCGATGAGCTAGACCCCAGCAAAGACCATTTGGCCACGCACAACCACTCTGCCTGTTACGAGAAGGGCCCAGAATCCCGAACCTTCTACCGGAAAGACCATCTTCGACAACACTTACGACTCATGCACGGTTGCAAGATGACCTCCAGTATGGACACATGGAAGTCAGAAGCCCAATACATCAAATCTCGTTGCGGCTTTTGCGGGATAAACTTTGACAAGTGGCAAGACCGCCTCGACCATTTGGCGAAAGAGTTCCGCAACGGCGCACACATGAAGAACTGGAAGGGATGCAGGGGCTTAGACCCTCATGTCGCTATCCACGTCACGAACGCGATGCCACCTTATCTCATCGCCAACGAAAGCAAATCGCCATTCCCGTTCTCAGCATCCAACACTGCGAGCCTCAAGGTGCGTACCATCGTGGCGATCATGTGGACTGCGCACAATAGGCTGACTTGTCAACAGCAGCTTAACCTGTCCGTTGATAGCAAGGACCTTGAATACCTTTTACCCAACGTTGATGACATCGACTGCACGAACAACGTGTCTGCGGCATACCAACCTGGCAGTGATCCCTCGACTATTGGACCCATCGTCCTGACGACACCGAAAGACTATTCTCCTTCCAAGTCCCTCGTCGACAACCCGAACGCAACCTGCTGGGAAATCCTCACACTACAGCTGGGCCGTTTCGCACGAGAGCACATCGCAAAGCATGGTTCCGCACACTTGACCGATGAGGTCTTGCAAGCAGAGTCACGTCGCATCCTCTACGATGACGATGATCCATGGAACCAAACATCTGCGGATAATCCCGAATGGCTGAACTTGTTCAAGAAAGCACACGGCATCAATTGCCAGACCCCAATAAAGAGTATGTATAAGCCGTCACTAGATACCTGCATGACTGTGTCTGACATTCCAATAGACATCAATGGCGAACACGAAATATTCGAAGACCTCGGCATCAACTACGGCTCCGCATTAGATCCAAGCTTCGACGTGAGCAACTTCGCCTGCACCTCAATGTCGCAGAACGATCCTTTGCGTGCCCTATCTTACGAATTCGCGCTATCCGGCTCGGTAGGCGCCGTTCAAGGACATGCGCGACAACTTTCCTCGGGTCGCCAAACACCCTACAGCGTACCAGGACTAACCGGATCGCCTACCTCACCAGCGTCGTACGCTCCCATCACGACTACTTCGAGCGCAGACAACTTACTAGGTTTCTGTGAGCCCATCTCAGAACTCGCGTGCACAGGAGCCGGTACTTGTCTCGGCGAGCAAGGCGAGATCGGCTTCTCGATTAAGACTGCTGGGTTACCGAAGAGGAGGTACTGGCTCGATGATTCGACTGCGCATCTGATGCCGTTCACATCCAGCGCTAGCGAACAGCCCACGGTTGACGGTTTGACTGCGGGTGGGCCTACTGTCGACGACTTCCAGTTCCCATCGTGGGATCAACTGCCAGAGGATCTTCAGAACCCAACGAGCAGCGCGGACTTTGACTCTACTATTCCTGTTACGACTACTGGTGTTGGTATGGCGGGTGTTGAGGGTACTGATGCGATGCCCTGGGATGATATGGACTTTGCTATGGATTTGGATACGGATATGGATATGGGTCTTAACCAGGTATGAGGTTGATGGCTTTCGGGTTATCATCTTGTCATCAAGTTGTTTCCTTCAGGGTTAGGGATGCAGGCGCATACATGGGATAAAATGTCTTAGCTTTTTGCAGTCAAGGTTGACGCAAAGTTTAGATCTAATGATCATAATTACATCGCATATCCCTTGCTATACCCCAATATCACTTTCCGGTATTCACGTTACCACTTTCGTCTTCATGAATAACCTCTCGTCATTGTCCCACGTTCCACCACGCACGCACCCATCACACCACATATACGCCGCCAACTCACCGCATATTCCACCCTACAATTCACAATTCTACACAACTAGGTCGTCCTTCGAAATTTTCCTTCCCAACACTTTCAGTTTCTTCATTATATTTACCATAAAATTTGCGATGACATCATCAATCACCAAACATCATCCTGGCGTTGTGGCGGGTAAGCTCCCCTTCTATCCATATCACATATTGCTTACTAATTCTGGATTTCTAGAGTGGTTATCGCGTTAGACTTGAAATCTAATTCCTTAGGGAGCGTCAGTTCGAGTCTGGCCAACGTCGAATTTCTTTTTTTGCTGGGTTATATGACATGGGGGTGGGAGGGTTGCTATAGGTGAGTGGATGTGCGGTAGGACTTTTGGGTTAGAAGATGTATAGGGGACTTGGATCATGACATGGCGCGTAGGGATGAGTGGACCTCCTCGATAGTATCCAGGACATTCTTTTTTTGTAATTTGGTCTACGTACCATTCTTTTTAGACGTCTCTATAGCTGATCCGCGCTGACTCTTTGCACAATAATACCTGATGCCGCGCCGCCTCCGTTACAGATGACAGCAGCGCCATATTGTCCAACCTGCAGCTGATGCAGCAGCGTAACCAATATCCTGCTTCCAGAGCTACCCAGTGCGTGTCCCAGCGCAATAGCACCTCCCCTTGGGTTTACGTTGTCGGTGCCGAGACCGAGGATCTTGGCGTTGGCCTTGATGACGGCGGCGAAGGCCTCGTTGAACTCCCAGATGGCGATGTCGTTCTTTGAGAGACCGGATTGCTTGAGGAGCTTCTCGACGCAGGAGGCGGGGGCGATGGGGAAGTCGATGGGGTCTAGGTTGTGTTAGTAAGGGTGGGTGGTGGTAGGAGGATGGGGGTACGTACCAACAGCGGCATCGGCGTAGGTGACGACCTTTGCTAGTACGCGGCTGTCCTTGCCGTATTTCTGAGCGATTTCCTTGCTTCCTAGTATCAGTGCCGATGCACCGTCACTGAGAGGGGAGCTGTTCGCTGCTGTGACTGAGCCGTCTGGTCCCTTCTCGAAGGCTGGCTTCAGTGTGGAAACCTTGTCCAGCTTCAGCTTGTTGTACTGCTCGTCCTCGGAGATGATGGTCTCGCCCTTCTTCGACTTGACAGTGACGGGTACAATCTCGTCCTTGAAGAGTCCATCCTTGTATGCCTGCTGTGCGCGCTTGTAGGTCTCGATCGCGTAGTCGTCCTGGTCCTGCCTTGAGACTTCGTACTTCTTGGCTGTATTCTCCGCACAGTTGCCCATGTGGATCTGGTTGTAGACATCCCATAGTCCGTCTGCGATCAGACCGTCTTGCAGCTTCTGGTGGCCGAATGCTGGTTGTTGGCTTGCCCGGTTCAGATAGTATGGTACTCTCGTCATGTTCTCCATGCCACCCGCCACTTGCGCTTCCGCTTGTCCGAGCTCGATGGTCGAGGCGGCAATGTTTACTGCCTTAAGACCCGATGCGCATACTTTGTTGATGGTGGTGGCTTCGATGTTGGTGGGTAGGCCGGCGAAGATGGCAGCTTGACGCGCTGGTGCTTGTCCGACGCCTCCGGAGAGGACGTTGCCCATGTATACGGCATCGATTGAGGATATCGGAACCTTCGACTTTTCGAGGGCGGACTTGATGGCTGTGGCGCCGAGTTGGGTCGCGGATACGGTTGTGAAGTTGCCATTGAACTATGGCGGGTTTAGCAGCTGACATGGCTTGGGATGATAGTCTACTAACCACTGCAGTTGGCGTTCGGCTGGCACTTATGATGTATGCATCGCGAACTTCTTTCCTTTGCGGCGCAGAGCTACTGAACTGCCTTTGGATGCTGGCCAGCCGTTGTTGAGGCCGCGAAGCCATTCTCATGGATGTGCGGAGGGCAGAAGACGACATGGCTGAATGACAATATTCAAAAAGCTCGAACTGTACTGAGAATGCGGAGAAAAGGACTCTAACGAGCAGAAGCGTGGTTGTCACATGGCGGCAACAGTTCCGTGGCTAAGATGCGGGCGGCGGGATGTGGAGGAAACGCGCTCTGACGTCTGTGCCGAGGTTCGGCAGCACACGGCACCGCCCGGCTTAGTCGCCCTCTCGAACTCTCCTCCTTCCACATACCCAGTGGTGAACCGACAGACCTCCAAGCTTCAACCTACGTTATGTCACGTTACTGTCGACCTTCCGCACTCTCAGTGTCGACGGAGCCGACTAGAACGGTCACGTCTTGGAAAAGATTTACTTCGTCCGACGCAAACATGCCTCACCCCAGCCAATATGTCACAAACGCGAACATGTCACGAACCTGCTCTTCACCATAGCCACGCGTGACCACGACGGCCACGCAGTATAGCGT